GAGTGGGTGCACGCCCACAGCAGTCTTTGGCTGCAGGAGGCCTAGACAGGGCCAAGTGGGGGCAATGCCTCTTCTGAAAAAGGAGAAGCGGAAAAAGCTTCACAAGCTACGGCGCATGTTGCAGTCTAGCCCAGCCTTGGTGAGTGATCCAGCCCGTCATCCTGTCCCGGCTTCAGACAGTCAGTGGTTTAGTGACCCCAGGGGGCGGGGTTGTCTCCCTGTCTGGGCAATGGGTCACAAAATTGAAGCCCAGAGCCAGATACTCAGCTGGTGTCAATGCCGCTCTGGGCCTATTGACCCACAGAGACTCCTCCTGCAGTGGGCAGAAGTATCAGCCTTGACTGGCAGCTTGTGCTGTTGAGGGAAGCTGACGCCTGACGGTTTGGAGGTGTCCAGAGGCAGAATGCAGGAGGGGAGAAGTATCTTCTCTTCCTCCATGTCCCACAAGCACCATCAACCTGAGGACATTAAGGCCAACATTTCCAAAGAAGATTAATGGCTTTGGGTGCCCATCTGGAGGGGTCTGATTTTCACGGACTGCCGGGCCATCACTTGTTGAAAGTCAGGACCCTTCATGGCATCTGCACTGAAAGTCTTGGCCTAAGTGAGGCCTTAAGCCTCTTCTCTTCTGCTGTTGCGCTCGGGTCTATAGCATCTGAGCTGAGTGATGCTCAGGCTTTCCGTAGGCTCTCTGCAGAGATCAATATCCCCCCATGGAAATAGTGAGGCTCTGTGTGGTTTTCAGTTACAGACTGGGCAGCTGATAGCGCCTTCTGGCTAGTGGAAAAATGTATGACATTAGAAAGGGCGCTATCAGCCATCTGGTGTTCTTGACAGCTATCTGCGGGGAGGCCCAGAACCTGTCCTTTTTTCTCTTGAGTTGAGATACAAATCTGCTCAAAACCTTCTTATGCGATTGCTGTCTCCGGCCATCACAGAGAGTCCTGGACACTAACAGATCATCCTCCGTGGGAGAGGCGAGGAGTGGAGCTTTCCATGGCTTCATGCTTTGCAGTGGCACAATACAAATCTTTTATTGACAGTCTGCACCAGAGGTTAATAATGAGGTGGCCACACTGAGCATTGCCCCAGAACAAGAGGAGCACACGAAATTCCTTAAGGATTTGGCTACCTGATAGGAGTGGAAACTAAGTGTAGACACATATGCAAGGGAACAATTTAAACTCCACAGTCACAGGGATTCATAAATAATAATATAAGAATACCACCTCCTAGCTCCTGTCTAGCACTTCCCTGCCTTAAATCTCCAAGGGCTTTCCCAAGATCAATATTATTATCCCCAGTGTCACAGTTTCAGTCACAGAGATCTTGTGACTGTCACTTGATGAGCCAATGCTTCCTACCTTCCCGGGTGGCCCCATTACTCTGTCTTGCTGAGCCAGGCCCTCAGGCCTCCTCCAGCACTGACACAGAAGTGGAGTCACAGCCCTTAGCAGTGTATCAGCTCAGCTCTGAGAAGGCTCAGTCGAAGGGACTTGCCTCAGCAGCCTGGAGCACAGCCCCAGTGGGATCTGAACCCCAGATAAATCATCTTCCTCTGTCTAAAGTTTTATACAGGATAAGCTCATGTTGTTCACCCCTTTCTTGCATAAAGAGAGCTGCACAGCCACTTCCCTGCCCCTGTAACAATTATTTCCACTGGGTTTATTAATAAACAGAAGTGATTTTATGAAGTACAACCACTTAAATCCTACTTTTCATAAGTAATAACATACAAAGTAAAAAGTTACTAAGCACAATCAAATAAAACATGTCAGCTAAGTTTAATACTGTAAGAAACTGGTTACATGGAATATGTCACCCTCAGTTACTCTGCTAAGATTCTTTCACAGAGTTCATTTGCAAATTCAATATAATCAATTTAGGACTGAATAACTGATTAATCCACTACAAAGGTAATTTTCCCTCTTTTGATATTCACATTTCCATACCAAATGCTTCCATCCAGACTTGATTAGCCTCGTTAACACAGTATACATACCCCTGCCTCTATAACTTCCATTCCAATTCTTCTGATGAAGTGGGTTTTACCCACAAAAGCTTGTGTTCTGATATATCTGTTAATCTCTAAGGTGCCACAGGACTCCTCATAGTTTTTGCAGGAAAAACAAATCCGTTTACAGATCATTGTCCTTATTCAATGCACCATCCAGTTTCTGAAATATCCTTAATTGCCCTCATTAGCATGTGTCTACATCAGTAACACAGGTTAATACTTCATATTTCTAACTTCAAATACAGGAATAATACATGTGTATAAGCAGACTATACCCATTCAGAAGAAACTTTTCCAGTGATTCCTTACAAGAAGCATTTTGAATAAAGCATTTTCCATTTATGTATATTCATAAGCATATTTCCATAAAGAATGCAAAATGCACCATCACACCCATTTACAGAGGGGGAAACTGAGGCACATATCAGGGTTCAGAATTGCCCAAAGTCACCCCGCTAGATCACCCCAATCCAATGCCAAACCACCACCTCTTGGCCAACATGTTGGCTATGTCTAGACTGGCATGATTTTCCGCAAATGCTTTTAACAGAAAAGTTTTTCCATTAAAAGCATTTGCGGAAAAGAGCGTCTAGATTGGCACGGATGTTTGCGGAAAAGCGTCTGTGCCAATCTAGATGCCGTTTTGTGAAAGAAAGCCCCGATCTCCATTTTCACGATCGGGGCTTTTAAAGAAAGCCCTGATGTCCATTTTCACGATCGGGGCTTTTTTGCACAAAACAATACCGCGTTGTCTACACTGGCCCTCTTGCGCAAAAGCATTTGCACAAGAGGGCTTTTGCCCGAACAGGAGCAGCATAGCATTTCCGCAGGAACACTGACAATCTGACATGAGATCATCAGTGTTCTTGCGGAAATTCAAGCGGCCAGTGTAGACAGCTGGCAAGTTTTTCCGGAAAAACTTGCCAGTCTAGACACAGCTGTTGGGTATGAGCTGGGTGCTTACAGAGCTAAACGCACAAGCTGCTACCACATGAGCTGAAGCTCCAACATGTGGCAGTTAGGGGAGGACAGGGCCAGAGGACAGGGCATGAAACTCACACTTAACTCTCATCCTCAGCCTATTTCCAGCTCTTTGCTCCTGAGAGTAGAAGAGACACGACAAGCCCAGCGTTGGAAACGGCTGCTCAGTGAGTAGCCTTTACTTGCACCCCCATGTAATCTCTGCAGACACCAGCACAGCATCATCCCAGGGCAAGCTTGTGGAAGTAACATCTGCACCCCTTGCCTCAGTTTCTCCACCTGTAAGATAGAATCATAGAATACTAGGACTAGAAGGGACCTCAAGAGGTCTAAACCATCTCTGATAGACATTTATCTAACCTACTCTTAAATATCTCCAGAGATGAGGATTCCACAACCTCCCTGGGCAATTTATTCCAGTGTTTGCCCACCCTGACAGTTAGGAACTTTTTCCTAATGTCCAACCTATACCTCCTTTGCTGCAGTTTAAGCCCTTTGCTTCTTGTTCTATCCTCAGGGGCCAAGATGAACAAGTTTTCTCCCTCCTCCTTATGGCACCCTTTTAGATACCTGAAAACTGCTCTCATGTCCCCCCTCAGTCTTCTCTTTTCTAAACTAAACAAACCCAATTCTTTCAGCCTTCCTTCATAGGTCATGTTCTCTAGATCTTTAATCATGCTTGTTGCTCTTCTCTGACCCTCTCCAATTTCTCCACATCTTTCTTGAAATGCAGAGCCCAGAACTGGACACAATACTCCAACTGAGGCCTAACCAGCGCAGAGTAGAGCGGAAGAATGACTTCTCGTGTCTTGCTCACAACACACCTGTTAATGCAGCCCAGAATCATGTTTGCTTTCTTTGCAACAGCATCACACTGCTGACTCGTATTCAGCTTGTGGTCCACTATAACCCCTAGATCCCTTTCTGCCGTACTCCTTCCTAGACAGTCGCTTCCCATTCTGTATGTGTGGATCTGATTGTTCCTTCCCAAGTGGAGCACTTTACATTTGTCTTTATTAAACTTCATCCTGATGGGAATAATGAGACTGTCCTGCTTCAGTGCCCGTGAGAAGTTTTATAGACCTAGGACAGGAGGGGGCTGAGGCCTCTCCACTCCTATTTATCTGTCCCCTTGGTGCCTTTTCTACAGAGCCCTTGCTGGGACCAATTTTCCATCAGCCCCAGGAGATTTGCTGGGTGTCTGCTGCCTTCTTTGCCAGCACACCATGAGCCTCCAGAGCCAAAAGCACCCACTGCCGCAACTTGAGATGAAATGCCACGGCTCCATAGCTGAGACTAGAATAAACTCATATCTCTAGTGGCTCTGGCACCGTGTGACCCCTATAGCACATACTCCCTAGAGGGGTTACACTTCACCTTCAGCCCTGGAAAGGCTGCAAATGTTGCTTTCCTTGTCTCATCCCATCTGTGACATGGGCGATAACAGCACAGACTTCAGAACATGGTGCCGCAGAGAGAGTATAAAGGATCCTGTGTTCCATGCCTCACAGGCAAATCCCATGCCCAGTGTTGATCTATGGGGGCATTTATCATGAGCACAGTGCATGCTGAGGCATCTGCCGGGAGTGTAACGCTGACAGGTGGAACTGAACCTGGGACGTCAGGAGCCTGGATCTCATGAGCTAAAAGTGAGCTAGCTCTCAGCTAACTAAGGCTGTAAGTAGGCTCAATGCTAGTAACTAGGACAGTAACACACCCAGCAGATGCGTGGGTTATGTGAGCTCCTTAGGAAGGCCTTTATGGATTCAGATTGGTCCTTGTTTTACCGGCCAACTGCAAACAGGAGAGGCATTGTCCTGCACCCACCCCGTAGCTGTCAACTCAGTGAGCCAGGCAGCTTCAGAGCATGTGAAGCCAGTGACCAGAGGTGGCAGATAGGCACGCCAGGATCAGATTCTGCATGAATCGTTTAGCTCAACCCACCACATGTGGTTTCCTGGCTTCCGAGTTTTGCTGCTCTGAGGCTATAAAACCAGCCATAGGGCAGCAAGAGGCTCAAGTGGTCACGGAGTCTGGAAGAGGACACAGAGAGCCACAAACTCAGAGATGGAGCAGCCCCAGCGCCTGTTGCTCCTGCTCTCCCTTCTGTCCTACTCCTCGGTCCATGCTGGTGAGTAGAGGAAGCCAGGGGCACAGGTGACCATCCAGGATCCGTGCACCAGCTGTCCCCTCTGCTCCTGCTCAGGAATCTGTCTGTCTTTCAGGGGCTTTGCGGAGTCAGATTGTGGGGGGGCACGAAGCCAAACCCCACTCCAGACCCTACATGGCAGCCCTGAAGGTCTCTGGTGATTTCGGATGTGGGGGATTTCTGGTGGCCCCGGACTGGGTGATGACCGCTGCTCACTGCATGGGGTAGGTACTGGTGCCTGGTTTGTCCTTCTTGTATTGACTGCTGGAGTAAATTTTAAAAACAGGCTTCATCTGCTAATCGGTATGAAGCCAGCTCTCTCTGCAGCCTCCCCCCCTTTGCTCAGGAAAGTGACCCACATTTGTCTCCTGCCGGTTTCAGGGATATCACTGTCATCCTGGGAGCTCACAATATCCACGAGCCAGAGGAGTCGCAGCAGGTGCTGGGAGTTGAGAGCTACCACATGCACCCTGAATACAACAATGTCTTGATAAATAATGACATCCTGCTGCTAAAGGTAAGTGACTTGTTTGCCCTGGGGAAGGTCACCCCAACAACTGCTGAGGGGCTCGTGCGGAGAGCTGAGAACAGAGAGGTAATCTTGCATGGGAAGACGCCAGAGCCCCCTTTGCAAATTGGGCCTTACTATTGTGTGCTGGGCCAGCCAGAGAAAGGAAACCGCAGGCAGTTCTTATAGCTTCAGCCTTCCTGGACTTCTTGGGGTTCGGAGCAGTCAGTCCCCTCCCCCCCAGCACAGATCACCCAGTGTCAGTCACATTGTCCCACACCCCTCCAAGCTACATGCAGAATTGGCACCTTTCAGCCCCCTAGACTGCTTTGTGCAAGCATCAGGGCTCAATGCTGAGTACAGCCTCTCCCATCACCTGGCAAGGGGGGGTACTAGACATCTGCTCCCTGAGACACGCTCTTGGCTTGACGCCTGTCTCCAGATTCTACTGACTCCTGCTTGGGCCTGAATGCTCCTCCTCTTCCTCCCACCCAGCTGACAGCAAGGGCCAAGCTGAATAAATACGTCCAGGTCATCCCCCTGCCCAAGACCAGCAGTGACCTCCCCCCGGACACCAGGTGCAGCCTGGCGGGATGGGGCCTCATTGACAAAGAGCGAATCACCAACAGGCTTTTTGAGACAAACGTCACCATCTACAGCCGCCGGAAATGCCTCAACGTCTACCCCCACCTCACCGATGGGATGATCTGTGCCGGCAGCTTCCACCAGCTCAAAGACTCCAGCCAGGTCAGGACTGGACACACTGGCAAACGGGGGAATGGGGAAGTGGTGGGATCAGCATCTCAGCTCCTGGCTGGGGCTGCCTGGGTTCCCTCCCAGCAGGAGAGACTCACGGATGCAAATCTCCTGCCCACTCATGTGTCTTCCCCAAGGGTTTCCCCCTAATTTCCCAGACCAGACCAGGCCCTGCATTCTGGAGGAGAGTTTGCTACTCAGCTGGGAAATCTATGGGAGCACAAGGCTTAGCACTGATGGGTTCCCTTCACCCCGCCTTACTGCATCCTGTCTACACTAGAGCTGGGCAAAAATTTTCAACCTACAAATTTTTGGGGGAGAAAAAAGCAGATTTTGGTCACCCAAAACGTGGCACCAGTGTGTGCACGATTCACCAAATGGTTTCCATCAACAAAACAACTCACTCCACGTTTCTGAACACAGTCAAAGCAGGGTGCTTTGGCTCGGTCAGATTGAAACGGTTGTGACTTTTCAATTCGCCCTCTGGAAATTTCCCTCTGTTTGCCTTGCAAAAGCTCCGCCCTCAAGTAGAGATGTAAGCGACTATCTGATAAGCACAAGCTTATCGGATAGTTGAGTAGTGACCTGACTAGTCAGTCCCCTGCCCTTGCTGCCTCTAACAGACAGAGGCAGCAAGTGGGGGAGCAGGAGGCGGTGCTCGGGGGGAGCTGGCTCTATGGGGGCAGTGCCAATTCCCATTGCAGCCGCTTCATCCTTTGAAATGTACAAGACCCCATGGGCCGGAGGGGCTCTTGTACATTTCAAAAGCTGAAGCAGCCGCATTGGGAACCCATGTGAGCGTGAGACTGCTTCAGTCCCCGCTGGCCCTGTGCTCCCTGCAGCAGGCAGCTAAGGAACAGGAGCCAGTGCTGGGGGGAGCTGGCTTAAAAGCTGGTTCCTCTCAACACCATCCCCAAGGTACTGCATGCTTCCCCCTGACAGGGGCTAGTGCCAGAGGAGCCTCTGTTTGTGCTGGACAAAGGTGGCCACCGTGAACAGAGGCTGCTCCGGCACCAGCCCCCGTTTCAGTGATCAGGGCTGTCCGCTGTGAACAGGTGCTGTTGGGCTCAATGCAAGCTGGGACCCAGCAGTCCCAGATCACGCTTATCCCTGTGCCTCTGTATTTTAAATGCAGAGCCACAGCACAAGTGGCTCAGTCCCAGCTCAAGGTGGGTCCTGGTGCTACCCCCACTGCGGCTCTGCAGAGCAGTCCTATCGACTAATTGTATAGTAAATACAAATTGTATTGACTATATGATTAGCCTGATAACCACATTTTAACATCCTTACCCCCAAGGAAGTGTTTCATTTTGCCCTGACCCCTTTTCTACCCCTCTCTGTCGTGTGGACCTGGCACGATCTGGAAAAGCCATTATTAGCACAGCTCTAGTCCAGACATCTTCAGCACGAGCTGGTGGGAATGCCCCTGCTGCAGTCACATGGGCAGTGGTCTTGAAGCAGAAAGCTTTAATTTAGCTGGCTTGGGTACCAGAGCAGGGAAGCCACAGCAGAGCGAGCTGGACCTCGGAGGTGCTGACCCAGGGCCCTGGATGGGTTTGCACATCCTATCACACTGCGGCCGATTCACTGCTCTGGTATCTGAGCCAGTAGAATTAGAGCTTCTTGAGCACATCAGCTTTGTGTTGCAGTCACACCCAGCAACTGCATTGAGCTTGTGTGGAACAGCCAACTCAGTGGGTTGACCCTTAAGGTACAGGCGTGGAAATCACTCACGTTACACTAGGGATGAACTTAAAAAACATCCAATGGTCTGGTAGCACTTTACAGACTAACGAACCACATAGCTGGGATCATGAGCTTTCGAGGGCACAGCCCACTTCTTCGGATGACCGGAGTTCTTCACCTGAAGAAGTGGGCTGTGCCCCCGAAAGATCGACATGTGTTGTTAGTCTATAAAGTGCTACCAGACCATGGTGGTTGTTTAAGTTTCTCCTGCACAGACTAACTCGGCTCCCTCCTGAAGCACTAGGGATTAAGTTGGCTCTGTGTCTGGAAAGCCTCTGAATTCCCTCCTCTTCATGTGACCTCTTCTCTGTTTGGCAGGGAGATTCCGGGGGGCCTCTGGTCTGCAATGGGGTGGCACAGGGAGTCGTCTCCTTTGGCTACAGCTTCCCCCCCGCTGTGTACACCCGCATTGCCAACTACCTGCAGTGGATCAGAAAGGTCATGGGCTAGACGACAGGAGAGGAAGATGCTCCAGCTTCTCCTCCACTACGTGCTGCCTTGGAGCCCTGTGCTGCTTTCTCTCTTGCTGCATCCACTGGCTTTTCTCTCCCTTCGGGGTGTGTATGAAATCCCAGGGGACAAGGCTTACTCTTGCTGTCTCTGTGGCCTTGGAGCTCGGCGGCTGTGTGCCCCACAGGTCCCTTGTTACCTGGGTGCTGTTGGCTCAGAAGAGGAACGTCACATTTTCAGCCCGACTCCCCAGGCCTGCATTCTCACAGCCCTTCCCCACAGATCACTGCTCCATCCCAGCTCTGTCGCTGTGCTGCCTGGCCTGTAACAAGCCTGGAAAATAAACTCCTGTCTGCATTGCACCGTGTCTCAGGTTCTCTCCCTTCGCAGTGTCTCCTCTCAGGGGGTTTCTGATCAGGACCAAGTTCTGCTCCCAGCTGCAACGGGGTAAGCCCTTTGATTTCAGTGTGTTGCAGGGGTATAAATGAGCAACTCAGGCCAGAGGTGACTTCACACCCCCCACAGGGAAGTGAACCAAGAGAACTAAAAACAACCCATGTGGTTTTCTGATCCTGGGCTGAGCAGCCTTTAACATCTACCCGCCAGATCAGCTTTGCAGGCAGTGCAGTTTGGGTACAAACCCGCTCACATCCTGCCCCTTGCCTCCTTGTGCTTTTCTTGTTGCACTGGGTCGGTCACCGATTGCTGCAGAAACTCCCACTGAAGTCAGTCAGAACAGAGTTAGGCCAGTTATGTGCACACCCAGCCGTGCCAGCTCACATGGTTTCATTGCCAAGCATGATGGTTTGGTGTTTTCCTTAAAGCTCCTCTTTGCACCACTTACTCTCTGCTTCCATTTCATAACATTTGCTAGCCTAACTCTATGCGTAAGGGAAGAAGCTTCCCTGGGGAGGGGTAGTTTGTTTAGTAATTGGGTTTCTCACACCATGCTGCTGGTCCTAGCCTCTGTTCGAGACAACACAGTAAAACTTGGGATGTGATCTGGCCCCATTACCTGATCATCTGCACATCTCACTATCTTCCATCCACCAGGTAGAGCCACCATGTGCCATAGAGAGAAACTCATCTGTTTCTAACTGAGTTTAAAGCGGATAAACAAATGCATGAAGAGAAGGCTGCCAAACCCCGCCCCCCACCCCCCAAAAACACAACCTCATGTGGCTGCTGCTATCAGTAACTGGCAGATGTGACATCATGGGAAAAAAATCTGAGGAGGCAGAAAAGGTGATCTGCGCAGGGAGACATGTCAAAGTTATTGATATCAGAGTGATAAAGCAGCTATCGCCAAACCTCAGCATTTAAGAGCTCTACTCAGCTTCTCACCAATCCGCCTCAGGCTCCTGGCTTCAGTAGAGCTTCGCCCATTTATACTTGCTGGGGCATTAACTCCCTTGGCCTCCAGAACTCCTGGGTCCTAACAGAAGTAGATTGATGGAGGGAGGTTTGGAAAACAGGTCAACAGGGAGAGGTGCTTTCAAGACTGTAACCTCCAGCATAGCTCCCCTGTGACTGGTTTGAGAGGTTGTAGAAGTTTAGCTTGGAATAAATGTGGGAAGGAAATCATTCAGGATTGTCTCTCTGGTTAGGGTTGCCAGGTGTCTGGTTTTCACCCGGACAGTACATTATTTCTGGCCCCTGTCCAGTAAAAAAACCAGAAGATACTGGGCATGTAAAACGTCTGGTATTTTCTGTTTTTCTTGGACGGAAGGCTGGTGGGGACATTGTTCCTCTGCCGCATCTGGCATGGGTGGGGGGTGGGGCAAGGAACGTGTGGATTCTTAAAGGCGCAGCAACCTGTTTTGTGCTCCTGGTTTTTTTGCTCAACAACTTTAGTCTCCATGGAATCTCCATCCCTAGAGGTTTCAAAGTCCCAGCTTGACACCACTCTGGCTGGGTTGATTGAGTTGGGGTTGATCCTGCTTTGGGCAGGGGGCTGGACTCGATGACTCCTGAGGTCTCTGCCAGGCCTGGGATTCCCTCTGGGGCACCTGGCACTAGCCCCTGTCAGAGGACAGACTAGTGGGCTGATGGTCCGTTGTTCTGAGCAGGTCTGGCCGTTCTTATGAGCAGAGATGAAAGGAAGCAGGTGTGCCCTAGTATCCAGCTCCAGCAGGAGCGGGCTGAGCTGCAGCAAAAGTCAGCAGGGATCTCGTTAAAGAGCAGGCAGATTCCTTGATTGCAATAGGACCTAGAAATGGAAATGTTAAGTTACTTTCAGCACTGCTTATGAGGGGACCCATTGAAAACAGATACCGATTACCGGTCGCTTGAAAGGCTGAAGGGGGATTCTTTGGAGACCAGCAGATAAAGATGCTGGGATAAATAACCTGGGTTTAAACGGACTCAGGGCCTCTTCCTGGATCCAGCGAATGGATTGGACAGGACCCCGGTCTACAGAGGGCCCGAGTCCTAAAGGACGGACTTTGGCCTGCAGGGGTCACAGAAGAGGGGGTTGCCATTCTGAGCTAAAGGGTGATGAACTTGGGCTCTGGCAAGAGCAGCCCTTCCATGTTGGGATGTGTGTGTGGCAGGGGCTTGGCTGCTTGTTAATACAGCTTCTTATGCAGGTAGGTTCCTTTGTGGTTTTTAATGTTTTCCCTGCAGTGCTTTTATCTTCAGAATAAACACTCTGCTTGTTTGGAGGTGGCTGCCAACTGCAGCAATTAAAGCGCACTGGCCTTGAGGGCAGAATCGAAGCAGGGCTGCTCTTGTGCCTGAAATAACAGCAGCGCTGCCTGGAAATACCCTGGTCGGAAGGGAGACACACGTGCCTCCACCCAAGAGCAGCAATGGCTTGAGGGTGCCTGACCTGCCTGGAGCCCAGAGGGAAAATCCAGGTGCAACCAGCACCCAGCCCTTGGAGGAAATTACTACGAGAGGAGGGCAAAGAATTAAAGGAAACTTGTTCCACTGCTGGGAACGTTCCACTCCAAATTCAAAATGCCCTTTGCAGAAGCTGCCATTTTAACCTAGAGGTCCTGGGAGACACGACTGATACATGCGCTTGTGCTGACTCTGCAGAGGCGAGTTCTGCCCTGACCACACTAGCTGCTGCTGAGAGGCATTTTGTAGCTACTGCTCCAAGCTATGCAAGAGCAAACTGATTCTATGTTGATTAGTCAGCTGAACCCAACTCCTGTGGTTTTTCTAGGCGCTAATTCTCACGTACCTCAGGCTATAAAACCAGGCCAGGAGTGGCCAGAGAATTGCAGCTTGGCCTGGAAGGGGATTGGCAAAGCAGAGAACTCCAAGATGAAGCGACCCTTTGGCCTCTTGCTCCTGCTCTCAGCATCAGCCTACTCAGGTCAGTAGAGAGCCCGAGGTCTGGACAGCCATGCACCAGGTGAGGGAAGACCAGACCAGGAGCATGTTTCTCTTTCAGGAGCTTCATGCAGTTGGATCGTGGGAGGGCACGAAGCCAAAGCCCACTCCAGACCTTACATGGCCTATCTGAAGGGAGACACCTCGGATTTCTGCGGAGGGTTTCTGGTGGACCCAGGCTGGGTGATGACAGCTGCTCGCTGCAGGGGGTAAGATTTTGTTTGGTGCTTGTACAGCACCGATGCAAGGGAATCCCAATCCATGGCCAGGGATGCCAGGCATTCCCGCACTGCAAATAATAAATACCTCTCCCTTTTTCTTGGGTTTATACCTCACATGTGCAGTGGACGAACCAACTAACGTATGCATTGGTGGTGCAGCTGTGGTGCACCTAGAGCATTAGAGAAAATGTGGGAGTTAATCTCTTGTATTGCACCGACGTCCATTAGTAAGTGACAAGCTCTAAAGCTTGCCAGACCTCGTCACTAATGTAGATATTTTAGTTTGTCTGTCTGTCTTGATCTGCTTAGACAAGAACTCCTCTTCTCAAAGTTTAAGCCGTAAGAGCTAGGGCTAGCAAATTTGTTATGCAGCTTCCTCATCATCACATAAAGCAAGGCCAGGGTTTGTTTGTGCCAGGATGATAGGGTGTGCCTGGAATGGGATTGCTGCTCATAAAACCACACAGAAAAGAGAGACTCAGTAGGCAGGGGAAGGGACTGGCTGGAAGCACACCCCCTTGCCATGACTGCTCCATCCCCGAGCCTCCCACTCCTAAAGTGCCTTTTAGGGAGGGTGGAGTGGACGAAACTCGCCCCCGCCCCCGGACTTGTACAGGACATTGCCAGCTGATCCCTTTCATCAGGGAGCGAGGGGAAAGTGCAGAGTGCTGCATTCCTCACTGGCTGAGGAGTGCAGGGGGCAGATGAGCTGTGCTCTTTGCCTTCACTCCCTGACAGGCACAGGAAGGAGAAGAGCAAGCAGCCCTGATATGAATCTTGGAGGGGGATAGGGCTCTGTACCCCCTTGCCCTCCCCACCCACCCCTACATACACCCCAACTTCCCCAACCTGATTCGTGCATTCCCCTCACAGCCCCCTGCCCCGAGCTCCCATGCCTCCAACTCCAACTCCTTCCCTTCACACATCCCCTGCACCCCTGCACCCCTCCTCACCCACCAATCCGGACTCCTGCACTCCCACACCCCCAGCCCTATGCCTGCACATCTCCAAGCCCCTGCCCTGACTCCTGCACCCCCTCCCCACATCCCTAACCCTTGCCCGGAGCCCCTCACACCCTATCACTCCCCAACCTCCCTGCCCTCTACCCTACACTTACATTTTTCAGGTACCCTCCTAACCTCTTGCCCTTAGGGTCCCTCCAAGGAGAGCTGCAATACAATAGTACCTGTAAGAATTTAAGTTAGTCATCCCTGGATTGAACCCAAGATGAGCCAGAAAAATAGGATGAACCTGGAATAGGACTGCTTCTCAATAAACCTTACAGAAGAGAGAAAACCAATTTGGAGTAGTGCTCTGTTTTGGCACGGCTCAATCATTGCTTAAGACAAACTAGGAGAAAATGTTGTTGCAAGCTACTCTGAAATGTAGCCCTTTTTGATAAAACATAGTGAATAAGAGTTTATAGGGATAAAGAAAAAATACACTTGATGAAATTTCTACATAAAATAATTTGGTTTTGGTAAGCAGAAAAATTGTAAATCCCTTTTTTAAAGAAATCCAAAATAAAAATTAACGTCATAAAACTATTTTTGAAAAATGCAGTGACTTAAATAAAGCAGGTACATTTTCTTTTTATTTTAAAAAACCCTTAACTGTGGTAATAAAAGATATTACCTCTTCCACCTTGTCTCTAACCAGAGTTTTTGGTTCATTGGCCATTCCAAAAACCATTACAAAAAACCATTAGGACACAGGTTGATTTTTAAAAAATTTCAGAGACTAAAAAAAGTTGAGTCAAACAAAACATTTTTACTTTGAAAGGGATGTTCAAGTGTGTT